GTTAATGGTGGTGGTTATAACCGACAAAAATTGACTATTTTATTATTTTAAAATGTTATATTGATTAATCCTTCATTGTACTATTAAGTACATTTAATAGTTTGGTAGGTATCCATTTATTATGATGTTTAATCCTTCATTGTACTATTAAGTACATTCAATTATACATGATCTTTGTCACCCATTTAGCTCACACAAAGTTTTGTGTTGTTTGTATTGTGTGCTTTTTTACTTAATTATTTACCATCATATTTGCTTTAACTTGGGCTACACATTTAACCAAGACAAGCTTTTGTAATGTTTTTTTTGTGAATTAAAGAATTGTGATTTGGTTCAAAAATGACTTACATGGCACGAGTATACTGCAAAGGTGGCATCACGTAGAAATGAAATAAAGATTTGTGTAACCTTTTGCCCACATATTCTTATTTAATTGGCACAGGACGCCATGATGTACCTATGTCATTCCCCTAGTTCAAATACTTGTTGCTTAGTTTAGTGGATGTGTCCTACTATTAAACATTGTATTATGCCACTACTACAATGTTAGCTTTAGGTGTCGGATGATGGTGGCGGTTTAATAAGTCATTATGTTGGATAAAATATATCCGACACATCATTCAGTTAGTGTCGGATAACAATGAAATCATGTCGGTTATATCCGACATAAATTTCTGGCGGATATTTAGTGTGGCTGCCAGAATAATCTCTTAATGTTTTTTTTTCACTCACGGTCCCATTACCTAATCTCTGAATGTTTTTTTTTTTTCAATTTTTTACACATGCTATCTTGGAGTATATACAAACATATTTGATGGTTGGACGTTGAAACTAGTTTCGTAGAATGCATATCCTATCAAATTGATAGATTTAACAAACACTTAAGAGTTAATGTTATACTTCCATTAAGTATAAATTAAGATTTATCCACTAGTGTAAATATTTTAAATTGAAGATCGAATTCATTCATTGCATTCTTATAGGGTCGAGGAGTGAAGCTGTAAAAAATCATCAAAATCAAAGCTAAAATAACCATTAAATTGTAATTTTTCATTTATAACCATCGAAAACTTTTGTTCCGTTACCTAAGCTCCGAATGTTTGTTTTTTGCAATTTTTTACGTATGCAATCTCGGAGTGTGTACAAACAAATTTGACAGTTAGATCATTGAAAAAAGTTTCCGAGAATGTGTATTGTGTCAAAACGGTAGATTAAATAAACACTTAAGAGTTAATGTTATACTTCCATTAAGTATAAAATAAGATTTTGTGGTATCCACTAGTGTAAATATTTTAAATTGAAGATCGAAATAGTTCATTGCATTCTTATAGTGTCAAGGAGTGTAGTTGTAAAAAAATCATCAAAACCGGAGCTACAATAACCGTTAAATTGTGATTTTTTGTTTATAACCGTCGAAAATTTTTGTTCTGTTACCTAATCTCTGAATGTTATTTTTTTTTTGTGATTTTTTACGTATGCGATCTCTTAGTATCTACAAACAAGTTTGACGGTTAGATCATTGAAAGTAGCTTCGTAGAATGCATATCTCCGTTAAATTTGCCTAAATTTTGAAGTGGGAAAAGTAATTTATGCTAAATTTTTATTTATGTTTTTCAAGTATTGATTAGACAATATTTAGTTTGTGTGATGACATTTTCATTGTACAATTATCCTTTTGTTTCTTTATTGCATATTTTACATGGATTATCATCTATTAAACCAAACAATTATTTATTTAATTTTAAAAAATGTATTCTATTTAAATACATATTATTTATTTATTTATTTATTTATTTATTAAACCAAACAATTATTATTTTATTTTTTAAAATTGTAACAAAATTTTGGGGGGATTTTTGCCGCCATTTTTTTCTGTCGGTTATAATCGACAGTAATGAAATTTTTTTGTCAGTTTACATTTAAAAAAAATGTTTCTGTCGGTTTTAACCAACAATAATGAAAATTTTCCAAAATAAAGCCCTTCCATCTCTTCCTTGCGCCTGTGCCTTCTCCCTTCCCCCTTCCTTCCTCCTTTTCTCCTCTCCTCATTTCCTTCTCCTTCTCTTCTCTCCTCATTTACTTCCAGTTCAACACTTACAATTGAGAGCCTTTGGGAAATGACAAGGTGAAATAATTCATTCACTTTTTAAATTCTGGGTTTTATTTTTAAGCCACGATTCATTTCCAATTATTGTGATTTAGTTTTACCTTGTTTATGATCTTGTGGTGATTTTTGAAGTTGGGTTTTTGTGTAATTATTGGCTTAACCGATCACCATTACTACTCTTAATCATTGGCTTAAGTTGTTTGATTCTTCACGTAATCACTGTCCTGTTTTGTTCTATCAAAAGAAATTGCGTACGAGATTAGTTGATATCCAAAATCATATAGACCAATATCTTTAGGTTTAAAAAGGTAAGCATTTTGTTAATCTTGTATTTTTGTAATTTTGATTTTTTGCTAAGAAGTTATGCTGGTTGCGGGATGAGGGTCTTAATTTTGTATATTTTGGCTTTAAAGGGTCTATTCTAGTTCGTAGTAATCTTGATTTTCGATGGCGAAATTGGTTGGGTTGAGGTTGTACAACTGCTGCAATTGCTGAAACCCTGTTGCCCTTCACGACGATGTCATTTTGAAAGCCTTTCAGGTGAACATAGGTTGAGTATGGAAACATAGGTTGAATATGGAAAATGCAGTGAATGCAGGGGAGGCTAACTTGATAGGGAAATAAATGATTCAGAAAGTGGTTTATATTTTTTTTATCAATATATTTGCTGTCGGTTTTATCCAACAATAATGCTTTTATTTATTCATTATTAATAAATTCTATGTCGGTTATATCTGACACAAGTTATGTCGGTTTTAGGATTTCTATCGGTTTTAGCCGACAGAAAATGCTCTTATTTATTCATTATTAATATATTCTCTGTCGGTTATATCTGACACAATTTTTGTCGGTTTTAGAGTATTTTTTGTCAAAAAATTCATTTCCTGACGCTAGCAATTCTGTCGCTTATTATATCTACCACTGCATCCATTTTCTGTCAGATTTTAAGGACGGTATTATATGTTTCTTGTCGGTTATCATAGCGACACTAATAAATGGTTTTGTAGTAGTGAAAAGAGAGCTTTCTATGGTGGAACTGCAATTGAAAAAGGTAAGGGGTGAACAAACTAAAGCTATCTGGTTTTGCTATTGATTTCAGAGTTGAGTGTGTTGAGAGAGTCTTTTGGTCACATCCCTTGCTGCATTTTATATACTCATTAGCCCGAGTGTCCAAACTTTCCCTTTTGGTGATGGCTTCCAAAGCACGGCGAGTCACTATTTGTTTTTGTTATTTACCTATCCATGTCATGGAAAAGTACTTTTTCCCTAAGGGTGAGCTGCCATTTGTCCATTGTCACTTCCATCGTAGGCTTGTTGCCTATTAGTTGCCAAAAAACCATTTTTGAAACATCCTGGGCTACGGCCTCTTCTGGCCCAATCACAAAAAGATTTTCGCACTCCTGGGCTTTAAATGCACTTAGTTCAATATTAAATATCCACGCAAAAAAGGACAAAGTAAAAAATCAAAATTGTATTTCAAGAAGTGAAGCTAGAAATAAGCCTAAAAAACACCATAGAGACTGCCATTGCAGTCCTTTAGCTGAAGCGTTGTTGACCAGGGCAGCCCTGGCATCTCACATGGTTGTTCTACAAAGTAATAAAAACGTGTATGAACTATTTGGCACACCCTTGTGCACACGGGACTCTTAGTCCGACCTCGATCGCTCTGCATATCTCTCTGTTTGGGTCCACAGAGACAGCCTAACTTGCTTGGCGTTGTTTAGTCGGCCTCGTGATACATCAAAAGCCATAAAAAGCACATAAGAGTCGTTTAATCCAATGCCAAACGTTAGCCAGTGACAGTGCTGTAGTTGGGAGAACCCCCACCACCTCCCTCAGCAGTCCACCTCTTTGCCCAGCCAAAAAGTAAGGGGCCACACGACTAGCCAGTTCATCTGTCCATGTCCACTTAGCAGTCCACCTGTTTGCCCAGGCAAAAAGTAAGAGGCCACGCGACTAGCCAGTCCATCTGTCCATGTCCACTTGTGTTTTCAGGTATGTGACAACACGTGGCAGCCTCTGATTACTCAAGACATCCAATCCCACGTGCTTGGGGGGCTTTGCATCACGTGGCCCTGACTCTGTCTCTCTCACTATCCATTGTTTTGATCCTTTTGGATGATACCAAAATAATGGAGGCCGTCAAATCGTTATCCATCCATAATACCACAGAGAAAAGGTTGCCTTGCTTTTATATCTTCTCTATCATCATCGCGCAACATTTTGCTTTCGCACTATTCTTCACATATTTGCAGCATACTTCAAATTTCCATCAGCTTACTGTTTCTGTACTAAAAAACGAAAGAAAAAGAAAATAGTTATTGCTATTTCATGACGTTGATGTGTTTAGGGTTTGAATAGATCATTTAAATCACCAATGCAAGCAGACTTTGTATCGGACTTAGCTAAGTTGATAATAGCATTGTGCTTCATATATGCATTTAAATTCAAATAGCTTTCCTTGTAGCTTGAATTAGTTTAATATAGATTGTCGCTTTACACAGACCTTACATGTGAGTCATTTTATTTAAATCAAACACAGAAACCACATATATTAGACCAAATTTTTTAAAACCACGAGTGCAAGTGCAAGGCTTTCCTTATCTGATGTGATACTCTCAACAAGCAATGAATCAATTGATCAACATAATTGACTAGAACATGAATCCATATCACACAATGTAATCTAAAAATGTGATTAGATTACTCAGCTCATAGTTATTCGATATGTGTCAATATCTACTTTAATAATTATTTAGATTAGATATAATATCCCGCACGCACACATTCTCTCTCCTTACCATATGTGCTTATAAATCCTCCCATCGCTTGGGGAAGTTTCATTATACAAGATAGAATATATCGCAACCTTTGAAAAGTTTGAGAGGGGAGCACAGCGCAGATGCCAAAATGAAGCTTTTATCTGCATTTGCACCTGCACTTGTACTAGTTCTTGTTTCTTACTTCCTTGAAAAACCCTGAAACCAAGCTTCAAAGCATGGCAAAGGTTTTAGATGTATGAGAGGAAAAAAAAGAAGAAAAGAGGAAAGGAATAAAGGAATAGGAGGAAAATGGAAGTCAGAAGGAAGAGGAGGAACAAGCAACAGGTGCAGGTGCAAGTGCAGGTGAATGCCATTTTGGATCATTAACACCAAACCCACTAATTTGTCTCTTGATAGTATGCATATATATGTGTGTGCCAGTGCAGGTGAATACCATCTTAGTTCTTTATCTAACACAAACCCACTAATTTGTCTCTTGATTATACATGATTACAGCATTTTATAAAACTATGAATGAATAGATAATAAGGGACTTTAACGAAAAGCTCCCAATATTATTCATTTTAACGAAAAATAACATTTTTATACTAAAAAGTCAATCATGATACTATTCACTTTACCATTTATATTCTTATCATTAAAGGGAGATTATATTCAGACACCCCAAATTACTTCTCCCACACCCTTTTAATTTTTTAATATTTTTCTATCAAGTGCTAGTGGTGTGTAGAAAATATTAAAAAATTAAAAAGGTCTGGGAGAAGTAATTTGGGATGTGTGAATATAATCTCTCATCATTAAAACTCAACGTTTATAAATACAGTTAAATTGCTACTTGATTGGACCAAATATATATACTGTTTGTTCCTAAATTTGATACATAAGTATATATTTAGATTTTATAGTAAAAAAGAAGAAGAAAACACATGAATTTCGAACAGTTCCTTGTGTATGGTTAATTTCCTATCCATTTCAGTTATGATCTGCACATAATTTGTTTCAGATCCATTTCAAATTTCTATCTAGCATATTTTCGTAGTTTCTTTTCAACTAATTTAGCCCTATTGTTGTAATTCAAATCCTTTCTTTTAGTTTTTTCTTTTTCTTCATCTAAATGGACTTTTGGGGTCCATTATATGTAGAAGTGATTTCAACATTAGCGATTTAGTTAGGCTCATATAGTTTTTTTCCCCTGAATTCAAAGCAAGCATTACATGGTAATTAAGCCAACGATAGTCTTCATAGGTCATAGTGGCTAGAGTATCTGCAACCAAAATTATTTCCTTCCTTGGAAGATGCCATTTCTAGATGTATAGTGAAATTATCAAATGATCAAATGAGATGAGCCATGTTATACAACTGATCTGTTAAACGAGTCAAATTACTTGATCATGTTATACCCATATGATTATAATTAATAAAACACATGAATAGAACATAACTGGGGGCAGCCATTCTCAAAAGCTTTTATTACTTGACAGCCAATTACTTGATCATCAAACCAACAAGGAGCTCTGGACTCTTTGAACCCCTCTTAGCCTCTGAATATTCAATCCAACACTACTTATGAGAATACCAGTGCTATACTAATCCAATCCGTAATATTAACTGTCTTGTAATCTCACAATGACAATGAGACCAAACCCTAGATAGAAACATGTACATAGAGATATAAACTCTAACAGATCGGACTTTCACACTCCATTTATACTTGTTCATACACTTGAATTGGAATATACACAAAGTACATTAAAAAGAAGGATAAATAGGGTTATGTACATTAAAAAGAAAGATAAATAGGGTTATGAGAGGAATGTATCTATGAAGATCTTCTAGGGTTTGCAGAGAGAGAGTGAAAAAAACGAGGACAAAGAGAGAATATTAAGACTGGGATAATGCAAAGAGATAGGGTTAGTCTTTGAACTCTATTGTAGATCCGATTAGATATGATATGTTGTTGTTTTGGAATAAGGGAAGTCATGAATCGAAAAAGGAACAGAAGGCATGGATAACATTATAATCATGTTTTAGGTCAAGAATTCGATAATATTTCATTCCATACAAGTATATATACAATGAAATTTCTCTATGGTTTATATCAGTAAGACATGTTCTGTGTATTGCTCATAATATCAACATATGGTTGTATTTTTTCCTTCATCTCCAAGGGGACACAACTCTGAGATCATGTGAAAAGTATATTGATTTCCAGTTTACAGTTACCAACTTTATATTTATTCTTTTAGTACTTTGGTGGATTTCTTTTTTAGTATATATGCAGATTATAAAGTTTAAGAAAATTTTTAGCTGCAGCCTGCAGCAAAGAGGGCGCTCTGAAAATTGTCTCTAGTTTGAGAGAGATGACATCGTCCTTACCCTCAATCAAATTGCCAGTATTCCCTCTTCCCATATGGATGAAAAGAAAATTGTACTGCCTTTATTTTGTTTATACTACCTTTATCTTGAAATGAATGTTCTTCATAAATGGATTCTACAAAACAAATTGTCATTAGCGAGAGTTTTATGTTGTCGGAACATGCATTTTGCAGTCGTAAAAACTTAGTTCCGATGGGAAAAATCCCTCACCGGTCCTCAAAAATTCTTCCATTGAAAATATTTTTTCCAACCACTATTTGAAAATACTTCGAATCCGACGCACATGACCCATCGTTATTCGTTATCTTTCCGTCGGGATTGGATTTTCAAAATGACAAACTTATTTTATTTTTGATATGCCATGATGCTTGCAAATACATTTTTTTTTTTTTTTGCGATGATATATTTTCAACCAAAATAGTGTTGAAAAATCTTTTTTCCAATAATGAAAATGTTATTTACAAGGGCGTGAAGTCATCGCAAGTACTATTATTGACAACTGTCGAAAGTATATAATATTTTGTCAGAAATACACATAAAAGATATTTACAATCGTCAAGCGTTGTCGGAAATATATATTTGCAATGGTGAAGGTTTGTTGGTAATATTGTATATTTGACCATGCTCAGTCATCACAAATATGTTTTTATGACTAAATTGTCATTGGAAATCTTGTAGAAAATAGTAAATTGTTGTCAGAATCATTCGACGAAGAAATCTTGGCTATAAATATGCATTATTGAAGGGAAATGCAATAAAAAAAAATTATTGTTCTATAAAAAAAATAACATAAACATGATCAAATGACTTTATTCATAGATATATAGAACTTACACAATAAAATTGATTTTCCAGTACTCGTCTTCAAGGTGATCATCTGCCCAACTGTCTACATTTCGTGTCAAAGTAAATTAATTACCTTCCTTTCTCACTTCAACTATTTGTCAACCATTAGATTAGACACCAAACATCTTTATAGATATGTTGTATGGGCAATTAGTATATACTTGCGAAAAAGCAGAATTCCTCAATGTGCTCATCTAACATGGGTATCGAATTTTAACATGATTTTTGAAGGCTTTCCTCATCTCCTCTTTAGAGCATATGTATGTGTATGTGTATCCAATTCCCTAAAAACACACAAATCAATTTGCTCCTTCGGATATTCCCTAAATGTTGTCCATGGCCCATTGAGAGCTTGACCTAAATAGAAGCCCTATGGTTCGTATAGCTTTAGCGGTCACAATCCTGAAAAATTGTGATCACATTAGAACGAAACAAAATATCCAAACTATAGGTAGGTAACTTTGATACCCCATGGTCTCCATGTCTTATGCACTTACCTGGCATAATGTGTTACAATTGGCGTGTCATTCCAATTATCCTACAAATCATCCTCTCGCCCAGTACTATATATATAACCATACAACAAACACAAACCCACAAAGCCAATTATCATACAAAACATAGAAACAAATCAAATTTAATACCAAAATCATGTCCAAACACAAAATTTCACATACATCCACTCAAACTTTTGTAAATGAGAGAGGGAATTCATAGATTTTCTTACTTTAGTCTTTGCCCTATTTATGTTGCACTGCACTATGAGAATATGCAAATAAGAAATCATAATGAAGAAGACAAATACATTATGGGAGCTTTAACGAAGATGACTTCAATTTTTTTTCTTAACAAAAAATAATCTAATAACTTTATTTAATAGATGGACTTGAATTTTAATGAAAATAACAAAAATTTAATATAATAAGGACAAAAAAAACTGCAAAAATTGACTCGTGGGACCAACAGGCCCATTCCTCCCTCCCTCACCATACCTTCTTTCTCTTCACCCATCATCGTCATCTATGTCTCTCTCCTCTTTCACCCATCACCATTGATGAGTCCATATTATACTATATACTTTATCATAATCTTAGTTATAATTTATAATTATTTTGGTAGAATTTTGATACTTTGTTATGTATTTTCAATGTAAGACGTTCAACTTTCTCTTAAGCAAAAAGTATTCAAATGGATGAATTTTGGAGTGATTCCACGGAGGATGTCCGTGAGCCTTTCAAGATGATTGTGTTAAAATTCCAGATTTTTCTACCAAGCCCTTTGATCGTGGTGATGAAATAAAGGTCTAGCGCGCAACTTTCCCAGATTGATGTTTCTGGACTTTTTGGGTATTTTGGAGGTCAAGATGGCATATTTTGAGGAAGATTCCTTCGGAGGATTTGTTGGGGACGTCTTAAGCTTTAAAATGAGACATTTTGTGACCAAATCGGAGTTGATTTGTTAGGTCAAAAGTTTGATTTTCTGAGAAGTCCAAAATTCAGTTTAAATAGGAAACCTTTTATTTCCTAGTTATTTTGTTCTATTATGTTTCCTAGTTTTTAGAAGATGTTTTCTAGTAAGGATTTTATTTTGTAGTATAAATAAGGCTTTTTAGCCATTAGGGTTAGGGTGGGGAAGAGAACGCACGGACTACTTTTGACAATTCAAGTTTATTTTCAAAATGTTTTCTATCCATATTTTTAATAATATTTTGTTTTATGATTGTTAGTAACTAGTTTCGTTTGCTAGGGCGAGGCCACGAGCCTTAACAAGAATATGTAGTTTTTTTTTAATTTGCTTATAATATTATGCATGCAAGTTTTGAATTATTAATCACCAGTTTAAACTATCTAATTGTCTTGATGATTGACCACCATTAGGATATTTAGAAAAGTAATTTGATGCAATTTTGACGGAGGGCTGTCCCTGGAATTGACTAAGGCTTCTTGTGGTTAATATGTGTAACTTCTTAGGATGGACGACACGTCTTAAAGGTTATATGGCTTTTCAAAAGGAGTTCACAAAACTTAATGAGTCTTGCATGTTCACATTCGATCTGGACGCTACAGACGAATTGGGTGTTAGATATACGTTCTATGTTGGAGGTTCCAAGTAGGGCATACTTTAGGAAAACCTAACCTTCAAAATATGC